TGCATTTCCAGGTGTGCACTGAGCAAGCATTATCACAATGCAGGTGCTGAAAGTGCAGTTGAACTGTTTTCGCTTTCCTCTTCAAAATCAGATCCAAGTGGGGGGGCTCAGCACGAGCGTCCCTCCCACCTCCGTGACTGCACTGTTTTCAGGGAAAGGCCTGTGTTGACAGGCCCTTCATTAGAGTCTTTGTCCTGGAAGAGCCTAGTACATAATTAATGTCTCCATGATGGATTACATGGGTGGGTTGCAAACAGCGAAGAGGTCGGCATAAAACGGGAGAATTGATGCAAGGCTATTTTCCCTATTGAACACGCCTACTGTGTGCCCCTTCTGCACTGGCACCAGACCTGCTGATTAGAAAGTCACAATATTTACAACAGTGGTGACTTTAGGACAGGTGTGAGTGAAAATGAACCCCCTGTGCCTTCACTTTCCTGTTTTTTTTTTCTCTTTGCGTCTACGTGTGGGAATCGAATGCGGCTGCGGCCCGACAAATGATCATCTTTATTGCGACTCTCACAGGTGGGGCTTTGGGTGGATGTTAACCATTAATCAAAGCCATCGTTAATGATGCAGAAAGTGCTGTGGAAATTAAACCCCTTCTGTTCCCCTTTCCATAATGTTGAGGTGCTCCGTGTTCAAGCTGGTATGATGAAGACCGTTGCTCTCTCAAGAGTAAGATATCTTGTTGTAGTGGTTCTTTTTCTACATTTGTCAGTAAGAAACTGTGCACACTGATGTCAGTTCCCTAAGCATGAGCCAAAAGTTAGCCGCCGCTTTTGTACTATTGAATAGTAATGAGCTAGAGGTATCTTCCTTATAGCTCAAATTGTAGCTCAAGGGTTCAGATTAATGGCTTTAACATTTGACTTCCAGATAGGAATGCCAGGATGAACATTAATGTGCTGACTTCTCTCACAACCTCCAGGCTATGTTTTAATAAAACAAACTAAATCAGAACTAATTGCAACACATGGCTTTTTACATAAGAGATCAAGTGAGCTCAAGTGGAATGGCATCGAATTGAAAGTGCAGGGAATGTTTGATCTCAGTGTTTTCATTTAATACCATCCCCCAGGGGGGCCAAGCGATATACTCTGCACCATTTCCAGGGTTTTTGGAAATATAGTTTAAAATAGAACAGACTTTTTTTCACTATTCCCCCCAAAAAACTTGCGTGTCTTAAGACTGCAAGAATCCCAGTGTCCTGACTCCTTCCTGATGCACGTCACTGAGCTCGCTGGCAGTTTTTTCACTTCAAATAAATTAATTTGTGTCTTGCCAGTGTTCGCAGTACAGTCTAGCGCACTAGCGGATGAAGTGACTCGCTCAATTATACATTTACTTAGACAAGTAATAAAGCGCTGCCACTCTCTGCCAAAGCTGGGGCTGATTATACCGGCTGTACAAGCTGTTTTCCCAGCCTCCTGTTCCTCCCCTCTCGCTGATCAAGACGTTCACCCCAAAGAGAGCGACTGCAACTCCCAGGATTGTCAAAAGGCCCTCCTTGCTGTTTTTTTTTTCCCCAATGAAAAAGTGCCTGTTTTCCCCTCACATGGAGTTCTAATCTTCAGATAAAGTATGTGAGCTTACCTTTCCAACATCCTCTTATGATGACACTATCAGTCCAACCCCTGAGCGTGCCTCATGTCTACAGACGTGATAAGATTTATCAGAACTATATGCTTTGATTTTTATGCTCAGCAGTCTCAAGGTTATGACAGAAAAAATCAGTCTATAATTCTCTCTTTCTATATATATATTTTTTTTTCTACCATCACCTGCGTGAAAATAAAATGTTAAAAGAGTTGATGCAATCCCATCCCATTTCATAGAGAAAGAAAATAACATTTCCCCTTTGTTTATGTCTGCGCTTTGATGAAAGCATGTTAAAGATAAAAACGAACATGTAGCCGTGTTTGATGCTGAAATGCTCACCTGGAAAATACTGAACGCGTGATGCACATGCAGCTTTCACATATATAGACGTCTATAACATTTATCTGATGTTAAATGATGTGGTGGTTTGTTGTTTGTTTTTTGTTTGTGTGTGTGTGTGTGTGTGTGTGTGTGTGTGTGTGTGTGTGTGTGTGTGTGTGTGTGTGTGTGTGTGTGTGTGTGTGTTTGTATTTTTTTTTTTTTTTTTTAAGGGATTTTTTTTTAGCCCTTTACTTTCCAAGCAGTCTAAAACTACCACCCACCATAAGGTATAAGATCCCCCAGGAGGCACTTTTCTCCTGCATCACAGAGAGACAGAGAGAGAGAGACTGATTGAATTGACGGCTTATGACTAGTGCTCGTCTGTTGCATTTTGCAAACGGTGAGAGGAAGAGATTCTATCCCAAAGTTAACGCTCCACTAATTGGACATGCATGCATGAGAGCGAGAACTTCATTTAAAACCAATTAGCAAACTTGATAGTCTTAAATTAACCTGTGCTAGATTCAAACCGTGCTTATTTTCATTCCCTGTGACCTCACTCTCTCTCTCTCTCTCTCTCTCTCTCTCTCGCAATCACACTCACTCACTCACTTTGGCTCACGCTCTGCCTTGTAGCTGATAATTTAGCAACTATGACATGATCATATACAGTTCCTGAAAGGTGGTGGTATTGACACATTTTGGCTCTTACGAATGACTGGAGAATAACAACAGCTCTTCCAATTAACACCGCAGTGCTTTTGGGTGCAAATGATTGTTCATCACAGCATAATGTGTCTTTATGAAAATGGATACCTGAAGACTCTGCACATGCTGTAAAAGTCATCTGCATAGCCGTGCAGCGCGAAGATAACATCTGTGCAAGCACTCTTATCATAGGCTCAGTAATCCATAAAAGAAACTACCCAGGCTGTTGGGAACAAACTCTGTGTTTTAAGAGATATACAAAAATTTTTTGATTTGTTTTGATTTTTTTTTTTTTTTTTTTTGGGGGGGGGGGGGTGATTGTCTAGTTTTTGAAAAAATCCTTTCACAAATCTTTATATTAGCTGTTTTAAGTTTTTGGTCAAATGTTTTGAATAAAAGAGTCGATTCCTGCAAGAGCAGGACGATTCAACATGTGGTCAAATGGTCATATGCACTAAAACGCTTCGGTTCAATAGAAGTCCATTCCTGGCCTCCGGTTGCCAGGGAAACCTCTCGGCTGTGTGTGTGTGTAATTGTGTAATACACACATGCAGCTGGCAGCATCTGTGTGAGAGGTTTTTTTAATGCAACCTTGGATGTATAGCTGTGACTACTCTATTCATGCACCTGCTACCCAATTGTTAAAGTAGTGTGAGGCAGGGTTGGGGGTGAGTGGAACGGGGGTCTAGAAGACAGACACCATGAAGTAGACCTGATACAGTATGACCCATAACTGTCCTGTGTCTACTATCCTGACAAATAGCACACAGTTTAGTAATAATAGGACTAAATATGTATCTAAGCCTATGAGCACTGATTATACAATAAGCCCTTTTTATGAAAGATATTTGGATACGTGACAGTAGGAAAAGCCCAGGTGTCAATAATAAAATTAATGATGGCTGAAATCCATTTAGCTGCTTTGGTTTTAGTGTGCTGTTATTGTGCAGGCTTTGAATAGAACAGAGCTATCACTAATGTTGTTGCTGTTTTCCTATTATGACAAGTCAAAATGTCTGATGTGAAAAAGGCCTGTCAGGCATTTTGCGACCAGGATTTATTTTTTCATGTACAAACATATAAATGAAATGTTTTTGAAATGAGTAAAAACATAATGCTAGTTTCTCTTTTCTGTCAGCAATTATGGTGCCACGCTCAGGTGCTTCCCGTCCTTCCATTGGCAGCAGGGTTGAGTCGTCTTTTGGTGCTAGGTTGCAGTTAGTCACATATTGTGCTTTCTTTTTACTCTGCTGCCTTGCTATATAAATTAAAAATCTCACTCTATTCAAAGAGAAATTGTTCACACTGTGGTGGTCCTTATTGTTTCTGAACCTCTCCATTATTATCTGGGAGATTATTCGGTGTATTCAGCTTGTGTCTCCAGAATAGAAGCTTTGCAAAGAATTTCATAGAAAATTTAAAATAAAGGCGAGAGGAGAAGAGTTCAGTGTCAGGAAAGATTTTATCACCCATTTCTTGAGCAGTCTCTTGTATCTAATGAATATGATATGATTATTTAGCATAAATCTTACTCTGCATTTGAGAATATATTTGTACCTACAGTGAACAAAATTATAAACGCAACACTTTTGTTTTTGCCCCCATTCATCATGAGCTAAACTCAAAGATCTAAGACTTTCTCTATGTACACAAAAGGCCTATTTCTCTCAAATATTGTTCACAAATCTGTTAAAATCTGTTAGTGAGCACTCCTCCTTTGCCGAGATAATCCATCCACCTCACAGGTGTGGCATATCAAGATGCTGATCAGACAGCATGGGTATTGCACAGGTGTGCCTTAGGCTGGCCACAATAAAAGGCCACTCGAAAATGTGTGGATGTCTTAGATCTTTGAGTTCAGCTCATGATGAATGGGGGCAAAAACAAAAGTGTTGCGTTTATAATTTTGTTCAGTGTAGTTGAAGATATTAGAGGTTAATTCAGTTTCTTGAATTAACATGGGTCTTACTTTAATTAAGTAATTAAGTTTGGGATAATATGAAAGGGGAAGAAACACAAGCAATAATGTCAGAACTATGCAAATAAGACCCCAGTTGTAAATAAACGTGCAATGTCTGTAAATATCCATTACCTCATAGAGATATGGAAGTCAGCACAAGTCTTTCTATGTTTTCAACAGGTATATCTTATCCGTCATGCCCTTTACAATGATATTGCTATAGCAAATTCGGAGTAACTACAAGGACGAGACAAACAAGGTTGACAGCATGGAGAGATTAGGAGCTGAAACAATACATTGACACCCAGAGGAAATGTACTTTACATTCATTTTGTGATGGCAAAGCTGCAGCACTTGGCCAGACTTCAGACAGTGAACCTTTTTTCTTTATCTTCTCTGTTCACACAAGGTGATGCTGACGTGCGTGGCCAATCGGATCAAGCGAATGCACTGATTTTGACTTGAGGGAAGAGCTACAGTTACTCATGCGGATGGACGGATGCCATACTGAGAGAGCTGGCTGGTGGAGGTAGGATATGAGTGTCTCTGTCAGCGGCAGAGGAGAGGGGGAGTCAGGTCTAATGAGGAGAGACGTTTCAGCTTTACCCTCTCCTCCCCTCAGTCACATATCAAAGGATTGAAAGCTGTGATGAATCCACACCTTACATACCTCCAGTACATGCACTACTGCATGTGCGCTTTAACTCACACACTCGTAGAAACATCTGCAAACAAACAACGTCTGCTATTTGGCATCCTGATTTTTGTTCCAAAAATCCAGTCAGTATGTACATTTATAATTGGCTGACTGTAAATCAACTAGATTGAAGTTGTAATGCTTAACATTTCAGCTCTGGTTGATTTGGTGACACTTGCGGTTACCATGGTAACAGCAAGTGCAGTTGAATACGTCAACAAACACTATTTAAAAAGTTGTCTTGTTTTGTAGATGCATTTTTGATCAACAATCGCAGTTGGCACTAACCTCTGTGACAATACAGTGCATTTCCTCTTACTACTTCACAATAAAAGCCACCCCTGTGTTTCATTTCATCAATGCTTTTGATGTAGAGCAGCGGCAGTAGGATATTACTTTGTGAACCTCTGATGTGACTGTAGGAAGGCTTTTATCAGGGAGATAAAAACAGTAACAATGGATTACATACATGCATAATTTCCCTGTGAATCCCCTGTGTGTACGCTGCATCCAGTGGGAAATGGCAGACTCCGCCATTCACAATGAAAACAACTGCGTCGGGATGTAACTACGGCATGTAAAAATATTTAATGGCTATGGCTGGAAACGCCAACCATAAATGGTATGAAAAACAGGGTTTGATTTCATGAATCACAAATTCATGGGGCTGCAACTAATGGTTTGTTTCATTGTCAAATGATTGTGCCACTATGTTTTTAATCAGGTAATTCATTATATAAAATCTCAGAACATTGTAAAAAATGCTCATTCAAACCCAAGGGGCTCTATCTTGCACTCAGCGCAATTGACTTTGTACACTGGCGCTTGTATAATTCCTACTCGACGCACATTGGAATTTTCCCTCCACCGATGCACGTCCTTAAATTAGGGAATGAACTTGCGCTCCGGGGGGGCGGTTCAGCGAAAAGAGGAGGCATGTTCCGGCGCAAACGTTCCCTGGTGCTATTTTGCTGTTTCAGAAAACAATTCCGCTACAGACCAGGAAAAACCTAGTCTAAAGTCAGTGGCGCTTATACAGATGCCATTTTAAGGGCGCAGACTCGAGGGGATGCGCCTGAGAGGCAGCAGCAACATCGCCACCCGGTCAGGACGGGCATTAATACTTTGCCGCATCCCGGACAGCTCCCGCTCCAGCATGTCAAACCCGGTTTGCTGCAGGAACGGGTGGTCCTCCGGCGTGTAGTGGGTCTGGATCCTCTGCACCTTGGTGTTTGCGCCGCTCCCTCCTCAGCTGGCCCTTGCGCACTGCTCGGCCAGGGTCTTCTTCCTGGAAGCTGCGTTACATTGTTTTGATTTATTGTATGGCTGTGTTACATTTATTTCATGTCAATAATGTCACTTCTCGGTCTTTTACGGCCCTGATGAGAACGTCGGTCTCCTCGGCTGTGAACCGCTCCTGGCAAATCCGCCGTTATAATAGCAATCCGCCATGGAACAAGCGCGCCTGCTTTTAAAGGGAATGTGAGATGACGCTCTGATTGGTTTATTGCACGTTACGCCCAAACCACACCTATGACTAATGTAGCTACTTCAGACCAACCCATTTTAGATTTGCGCCGGGCGCAAGAGTCATTTATCCCGCCAGCATAATAGCAACAGCGCCAGAGATCCGCCCACAAAGCTACTTGCATTTTGCGTTTGATACTTGCGTTTCAGATCGCAAGATAGGGCCCAAGGTGACATTTTATTATTAAAAAAACAAATATTCAACTGATAATGATATAAAACAGAACAGAAAATCTTAGTGTTTGAAAAAGCTGGAAGCTGGCTAAATAACTTGAATGCATAATTAATTATCAAATAACTTTCACTTAATCAATGAAACATTAATACACTCTACACACCCCTCCTGTGTGTATGCTTAAGATTAGATGGCAACAAAAGGTAGATGAGTGTGTGTGTGTGTGTGTGTGTGTGTGTGATGGGCGGAGGAGGAAGAGAATATGTGCATTTTCATGAGCGTATGTGTGTGTGTGTGTGTGAGAGAGAGAGAGAGAAAGAGAGAGATCTGTAGCACTTTAAGGTTGTTGTTTTGTCATATCCCCTCCCCTCTCCCTGTGTGGCATTCTGTCAGAGTCAGCCCAGTGACATTTTCAGGCAGCTGAACTCCGGGACCTTTCAGTGTCACCCTCTGTTGTCATTTCTGACTGGTACAGCCCAGACAATGATGCACTCGCACTGTGGGGGGAAAATGATATACAGCCAACCTCAAGGTCTGCCTTGCTCAAAGTTGTTTTTCCACTTCTCCATCAAACTGGCTTTTGCTGGCACAGAATACCACTCACTGCTGCGATGAAAAAGAAAAAAAAAAGTTGTAAGACGTAATATGTACTCAAGAAAGAAGTCAGATAAAACTTTTGCGTTTGATACTTGCTATTCACTGAGGCTGATGCAAATATGAGGAATAAGTGCAATACTTACATCCCCTACAAAACATAATTCCCAGTTGAAGTTTCTTCTTTTTTTTTTTGCCAAATCAAGAATCACTAAACCTAAAAAAAATTTAAATCTTCATCACAATCTCCTCATAGTTCATCATATTATAGTTTGCAAGCCCTATCGTGGACTGTTTAATTGCCCCTGACAAAATCAAATAAGCTTGGTCCCTGAGGGAGTGTATAACTGCACGCATCTTATCCATAAATCAGGTACGTAGGGTTGATGCAAGGTGGCAGTGGCAGTTATATAGGAGCCTTGGCTGAATCACATGCCCGCTGCAAGGAAATGGACCTGTCGGAAGGGCCGTGAAATAGTGCAGCTGCCGCGTCACTCACGGCTCTGCTCCTTTATTTCATTATCATACTGGAACAAAATGTGTGTGTGTGTGTTTGTGTATGAAATGCACCATGCAGGCAACAGGTGCAGCTGAAACAATATCCAATTTGTGCGTTTCAAAGATACAAACACATGTTCAAGCAGTCACACGCACCTGCTTGCCTCTGACAACCACTTCACTGAGAATTATCTAATTGCCTGTGAGGGTTCAAACTCTTTCTCAGAACACAACCTGGGGACTTTTCAGCTTAACTAAAATACACATCTGCTACCAACAGCAAACTCTAGCCACATTACCCCTCACCTCACATCTACATTCACCCATCTCAGAGTTTCCTTGAGCGGCTCAGTGTGCACGGGGTTCAGTACAGTTGCCTTTAACCATGTTCTCCTTATTGATTTGAGTCTGGCTGTAACCTCGTATCAGGGCTTTGCAAAGTTCTCTGCCGCATTAAGCCCTGGTCCTAATTGAAGCCTCCCAGAGGCTAACTGGCTCGATTGCTCCGACATGTCAAAAAGCATCAGTCAGTTAAATGGGGCTGGGAGATGGAGAGCCGTTATTGCCGCTGCTGCTGCTCCCTGCAGACTGTGACCTTGTGGTGAGACTGAGCTTGAAGTGTCTCCTCTAAACTCGCTGCTTTCCTGGAACATCCAAGTTCTATTCTCGTCTAGAAATCCACAATGAGGAAGTGTGTCTGTGTGTGAATGCATGTAGGTTCAATTGCATGATGTAGGTGGGTGTGAGCATGCACGCAAATGTCCGTGGCCCACAGCTGTGGAGTAAAATGAATGACAGTTGTTCTGAGTGGCTGGTGATCCTGCAGCAAATCCTTTCAAAGATTCATCCTGAGCTGCTGGGGACGGACAATTACATCGCCGGATCTGCCAGGAGATAGGACCAGAACCGGCAGTGCTGTATGTAAGGAATGTCTACAGTATGTTGCCATAGTTACGCAGAGGTGATAACAAGGTGGATAAACAACACACAGTTTGTGTTCGCTGTAGATTTAAAGTCACTTTACAGTTAATGTATAATGAGCCATGAATGCTTCTAACATATGTTCATATCATATTTACTATCAATCTAATTATATTGAAGCTGTGAAAAAGCATCGTCAGTTTTTACCACTCCTGTAGGGACACGGGCAATGTTGCATTTGAGTATGGTGGGGATCATTGTCTGTCTTCAAACTCTCACAGAGCACTCGAGCACTTTTGTCTTTTCATGCTGCTGTCAGACGCTCAGTGTCGGCAAAGTGAATGAACTAGTGGATGACTTCACAAAGAAGAAGCTACAGACACCTCTCAGCATTGATGTGAAGAGAAAGACATGGTGCAGTCTCACAAGTACCCATACATGTCAGAAACCATCCAAACAGGTCTAAAAACTCATATGCTGCTAAATCAGTGGCAGCCAGTGTGCTTTTCTTTGCTGTGGTGTGCCTAATGCCGAAGAGACAGTACAGAGATGCAGGAGACAAGAAAGAAAAAAAAACAGTTGGCTGCTACAGCCTGAAGGCAGTAGCAGGATGGAGGGTGCAGACCAAACTGATATCTGTCTGACACAGAACCATCCACCCACTCTCTGGTGAGCTGATGTCATTGAAAGAGCACCTCCAGCCTCTGGCTCTTACCCCTAAGGTGCAACATCAAGTGCTTTAGGCTCTCTGTTGTGCCAACAGCCATCAGACTGTACAATACCTGTTGTGTGATAGCCCCACTTATACCCACCAAGGATTTATTGTATAAACTAACCTGGAACATGGTTATGAAATGGTTTATTTTGGATTTGTTGGAGAGCTCATATATAATTGTTGATATAATGAGAGCACTCAGTTTCCTGTTTTCCTGCCACAGCTGCAACATTTGTGCATCTCATTAAAGGGGCAATTTAATATTGCACTTCCATAAAGTGAGGGACAATAAATAAATATAATTGAAGGAGATATGCTAACTTCCAGTTTCTAGTATGGGTCATGCTCCAAACACATCCTACACTTCCGATAAATGCAACACAATAGCCTCTTACCTCAGAC